ACAATTGAATGGGCCGGAGTTCAAAATGTTCATGGACCGGATTTGTTTTAAAAAAATCAAATGAAAACTTCATTAGTTGCTACATATGGGCCGGTTTTCATTGGTGATTGCTGAATTGGGCCGGTTTTCATTTGATTCATTGGTGAAAATCAAATGAATGCTGCAGACTAGGATTTTGAAATTTCAAAAATCATGATGTGGGCCGGCTGCTGAATTTCTTCACTGAACTTGCTTTAATGGACCGGACATGGGCTGCATATTTTGACTTTAATCAAATGAAACCGGACTTAGGCTGAAACTTGATTTTCATTTTTTTTTAAAAAATCAATTAGGCCTCTTATGTTGGGCTAGAAAAGAACAAAAAACAAATTCAAAGGTGGAGATTGTTGCTTGGGGCTCAAGACAAATCCAATGGCTCATATTCATTAAAGATTACTATAAATAGGGGTAGAGAGTGAGGGGTTAAGGGTGTGAAAAAATTTTGTAACTCCTTCAAAAGAGGAGGGCTACTCTTAATTGAGAAGGCCTTCCAAAATTATAACTTTTTGTTGCAATTAATAATAATAATTTTTTCACCACCTTAAATTTTTCTCTTCTTCTCTTTGTTGGATGATGAAGATGAAGATGAAGATGAAGAATTGTTTGAAGGTTTGCATTTTTCTTTTATTTCTTTTTTATTGCTTATTAGTGTAGATTTATTTCTATGCTTGTAGTTAGATTTTATTTTCTTGTTAAATAGCCAAGAGGCTAGAACCCTCTTGCCTTAGATTTATTTCATGCTTATAGAATAGATTTATTTTCTTGCATTTAATTCTTGTAATTTTATTTTGTAGTTTAGATTTTGCACTTACTATTCACCTTGAGGCTAGAACCCTCTTGGGTTTAGTTTTTCTTTTTGTTTATTTTTATTTTGTTTGATTCGCCTTTAGGCTAGAACCCTCTAGGGAATCACCCTTTTCTAAGAAGTGGGTTCAATTTTAGACTATCCATATCTATAATTGAATCCACCATCTTTAATTTCTTGTATTTTCTTTTATTTTTGAATTTTGTTTGTTTCTTGATTTTATTCTTTTTTTTCCTTCTCACCTTATTGATCATACTCATTCTTTTTTAAATCCACTCTCACTTACACTTTGCATCTATTTACACACCATTTTCACTCTCTCAATCTCTTCACAATCACATTCACTTATCACTCCTATTTGTCACGCACACAACATAAGAACCGATTTCATATTTTCTCCTACAAAACATCTTCCTCGTGGGATCGATATCTTAAATACTATAACTTGACACGGTTGTGCACTTGCAACCTTTTTGGTACATGTTTATGCAGCATCAACACACATAGTATTTAGAACACACTAACACATGCTTAGTGTGTGGTTAACTATAGAATTCCATTAAGTTAACCATTAGAGTTTATAGATATAGAGTGAGTCTCAAAATATATCATATATCTTATATCTATGTCTTAGTAGTCGATCAATGCCCTTAGTAGTCGACTACTCAAGCCTTAGTCAAAGTTACAGAAACTGTGAAATTATAGATTAGTCGACTACTATAGTTAATAGTCGACTACTAAGGTTTAGTTCAATTTACAGAAACTTTAGTCTTACAGATTAGTCGACCAATGACCTTAATAGTCGACTACTAACGAGTTTTCTGACTTTACAGAATCTGAATTAACTCAGATTAGTCGACTATTAAGACTAGTAGTCAACTACAGATACCGTTTTTTTAGTTTTTCAGAATTTGAATAAGTGACTGTTTATAGCTTTTTTTAAACGTTAATTGGGTTTAAATTTAAATATTTTCAGAGGTTATAAATAGGTATTAAGTTCAGAATTTGTTCACCAACTTATATATACATAAGATTCAAACTTTGAGCAAATTCTCTCTCTCTTGATTCAAAATTTCATTCTAAGTGTCAAGAGTAAAAAGTTCTGAGATTGCCTTTGTTCCCCATTATTATTAAAGATTGTTTAGGTAATATTCAGAGAGTTAAAAAGTTCCTAAGCCACAGCTGCACTTCACTAACACTTCAAGGGTTATAAGAATTTGTGATCTTACTTCAAAGAAAGTTCTCTCGGGTGTGAGAGAAGATCTCTTGGTTTAGAGATTGGTTGCTATTAGCATGGTCTTGTCGATTGGTCAAGTTTGGTTTGATTTTATAATTGGTTTGAAAATCATAGTGAAAATTTCAAGCGGGATTTGCTTAGGGACTAGATGTACACCCGGGGTGGTGGAACGAGTATAAATCTCTTGTTTGTGATTGTTAAATTTCTATGATTGTTGTTCATTGTTCTTGTAATTCATAATTCACCTTGCAAATTTTTTAAATAATACTATTCACCCCCCTCTAGTGTTTAGAGTGTGCTTCCGCAGATCCTTCATAATGTTTAATAGTTAAGTATATTTGTTAATAACAAAATTTTAGGGTGTTTTTTATTTAAAACTTTTGAGGGTGTTTCTTTTCTAGTTTTCTAAATTTTCATTGTGTTTTTAGTGTAATGCATATATACGTTAATTAATGATGATATTGAAGAATAAGTAGTTCTTAAGATGTATTAGGCCATAGTTAAGTATGCATATCACTATTCCTAGACAGTATAGTTTATATATGAAAATTTTTTCAGACAATCTATATAGTGGTTAAAAGGATTTTGACTTTATTATAATATTTTTTATAAATTATATTTAATGTGAACTAACCATATAATTTTGACTATGATCATCATACTTTTAATACGTTTAATTGATTGACTATATAGGTATATAGACTATAAATTACTTTACGCATGAACTAATATTTAGTTGGTCACTCACTATGAAATTTTCATGAAGATATATACCTTACTTTTTATAGCTATCTGCACCATCCATGTATATTTTATAAATTAGTTCTTAATTTAACATATTAAATTACTTTTCCTTTGTAGAAATTTCTTCTTTGACTTTTGGATTGTGTAATCACTATATCATCATTCTAGCGTAGAAAGGACCTACTCTAAATGGCTTCACACTAATATTTGAGTTGAATCGAAGTGTGTACTATTGCAACCATATGTATATATTTTTTAAGAAAATCATGTCAACACTTTTTAAACAAAAGATAATATTCTAACATCTGATATTATAAAAGCTCAATATAGCCAATTGAGTGATTAACAAAAGATGACTTACATCAGAAAAACGTGAATAATAAAATAAAGTGGAAAGGTAATGATATTGCTAACAATATTACCAATAGCAAGCTACAATGTAAAATTAACCTATTTTGTGGAGCCCAACTACTGGTTATAAGCATCAAGGTTTCCATATATATTTTATAATTTATTGAAAATGGTCATATAATTTACATAATAAAATTGATTTAATATTGAATAGTAATATCATTATAAATGAGCAATTACAGAGATGTTAGGGACTAATATGTATGTATTTAAGATTTCAGGACTAATATCTTAATAACCTAATTATATAAGCATGCCCACTTTGTCACCTATTTTGTTCGCTTTTCTCCTTGCTCATTCTTCACCAATTTCGCTGTCATGTTCAGAGAGAAGTAGAATTCATGTCGGTGAGGTCTTCTCTCCCTCTATCCCTCGATTTCATATTTTTTAAATTAGTTTCTTTAATTCTTTTTTAATAATTTCTTGGATCCATTTCATGTTTCATTCTATGAAATGCATTGTTAGATTCAATTTAAATATACTTTTATTTAAGTTATTATTTTCCCCTATTTATGGGTCAATTAATCATCGAAATGTTTAGGTCTTTTCGCGCATTTCATTTTTTGAATTAACAATTTATTTTGAGAATTTTTAAAAATATCACTTTATAGAAGTATTAGCAAAAGCGACTGTTTTACATAATAATTAACGAAATTGATCTCTTTTTTTGCCACGTCATCAAGACCGACAAAAAAGAGGTTGACATTGCAAAAAATCATCTTTAAAATACACGGGGCTAATAGTCCCTTGTAATTAGCGAACATTAATTACAAAAATAATTAAAGTCAGAAAATACACGGGACTACCACTCTTGTGTATTTTGTAGTCAGAACCAGAAAATACACTGGACTATTGTATATGTCCTAAATGCAATACAATTGCCCCAGACAAGTGAGTTATAATAGCATTTTTTATTCACACAGTTTGGGGCAAGATTTGATAGGGACCTTGCATCAAAGGAATTTTTTTATATTTAGAGGATATAGCGAAATATATCATAATCTCCCTGCTCTAATTTTGCAAGAAAATAATTTTTTATACTTTTAGCTTTACTTCTATAGTACAGAAAATGAACTATAAAATTAAATGAGAATATTAGATAATGTAAATATGAGTGAAAGCATAACTAAAAGTTAATGTGAATATGAGTTAAACCACAACTAAAAGTTTAATGCACATATTGTAAGTAAATTCATATACAAAATTTCTTTGCGAATCTAATGATCACCCATCTTTTGAAGACTTTAACATACTAATAATTAGAGTTGTTATACTAGATTAATGTGTTTCTAACTCACAAATAGTAGATCAATGACGATAGTCTGGGTTGAAGGAAACAATGATAATATTTCACTTGAAAGAGTGATTATTGAGTTGATGATCAATCTCACAAAAAACTTTATTTTATTTTTATTCTATTTTTATCAATTTATATAATCAAGGTATTCAACGTGCATTGCACGTGCATTTCAACTAGTGTAATTTAAAAATATGAAGATTCAGGATGAAATATAGAATTAACGGATACTTAGGGCCCTAATATGACGAAAGCCCAAATTGAAAATAGATGCACTAGGCTTTGTTATTTTCCAGCTTCATTTGTTGAACATAAGCAGGCTAGCATTTTACATATAAATGGCCCACCGTTATTGTAAAAGAGGGAAAACGGGGGAGAAAAGAAAAGGAGGAGAACTGTTTTTTTTTTAATATAAACGGGCCGAGCCGCCATAAACACAAACGAGTCTAAGGCTGGCCCATTTCAGCATCGGAGCAGAACCATCTTGGACCTCATCAAGAAAGTCCGTTGTTTGTTTCTACATACAAAAGAGGGGAGCGGTGAGTGACGGCGACGGAGAAAGATGACGGTGTTCCACTTCTTCAACTGCGCGATCCTCACCTTTGGTCCTCACGCCGTTTACTACTCCGCTACTCCTTTGTAAGTCACTTCACTGAGTTCTTGTAGTTATGGATCTGCAGTTGTTATCGTCTTCGATCTGTTGATTTGTTAATGGATGATGATCTGATCTAAATCTTAAGGGCCCAGGGAACCCTAGGTTGTTCGCAGATGTCAATTACCGGATTTTTGGATTATTATTATTGTTATTATTATTTTGAAATTAGATGTGTGATATGTTCTTAGATTTTCTGGAATTTGGTGGCGTTTAGGACTTAGACTGTGCTGAGAAACTTATGTTTGATTCAATTTTGTAGTAGATACCTAAAGCGCGTCATGTTGGATTTAAATCTAATTTGTGAACACATATGTTACATCAGTGTGTATTGCTATCCTTAATGTTAACCCGCATAAAGTGATCAATCAATTTGGGTTAACGGGTATTTAAATAAATCATGGGCTAAATGTGCAGATGTCAGGTTGTAATTATAATTTGATGAGGGGCCAAATTATAAAAGGACAACACCTATAAATAAGGGGTTATTGTCTCTAATCTAGGGTTATATTCTCTATTCTCTTATCCCATCCAAAGAGATTCTTAAGGAGAGACCCTCAAGATTAGAAGATCAAACCCTAATTCAGATCCTCATGGATTCAGGTATGCTTCCGCGTTCTTGTGATTCTTCTCTTTGAATTAATCACAGTTAATGTTCAACAAGTGGTATCAGAGCCATCGTGATTTGTTCTTAGAGAATTAAGTTTAAGATAAAGGATTAGGGTTTGGGTTTAAGATCAGTTGCACGTGTGGATTTGTGCAAATATGATCTGTAGCATGAAAATTTTATTTTTTATTCAATTTTGTTTGTTTTGGATATGTTGCACAGATGAACAGTAAAATTTCATGTTTTGCTTCGTTTTTTCTTTCGGTTTTTTGATTTGGATTTTTTCATGGATTCAATTCAAAAATCGAAGCAAAAGATCACTTTGGTTTGGTCGTCGATCACTATGCTTCTCACCGGCGATCTATCGCTGGCGGCCCCATTGTCAAATGAAGACAGTGACAGTGGCAATCAGGAACCCTAGAGTTTCAACCCTAGAGTACGGGAGCTTAAGCGGCGACGACGATTCAGAACGAAACCCTAAATGGAATCGTGTAGGAGCCCAAGCAGCGGCGACGGTTCGTTTTTCAAAACCCTAAGGGGTGAAAAGAACGTGCCGAAAATAATTAAGGAATTAGGGCAAAGGAGTTTACTTGATTCAAGCGAGCTCGTAGATCATTCAGGCGAACCCTCGTCAGCAACGTCTGCAGGCGAGGTGGATCTTCTTTTCAGGTGAGCTCAAGCCCTAAATCAAGCGAGCTCGTGCCTCAAGTGAGCTCGAGCCCAAATCAGGTGAGCTCGAACCTAATTACATGCGAGCTCGAGCATGGTTTCAAATCAGGCGAGCTTCGACTTAGTTGGCGAGCTTAGATCTCGAATCATGCAAGCTCACACGCTCGATTACGAGCAAGCTCGAAGAGCCCTAGTTCAGACGAGCCTCTTTTGGCTTGCGTTTGGGAATTTGCGGGCGAGATTCTTTGAGAACTCGTCGGCTAAAAAAAAATTAAAGGCGAGCTTTTGGGAAAGAACTGCAAGCGAGGTTATTGTTTCAGTTGCAGGCCGAAGCCCACTTAAGTATTTTATGGGCTTACAATTATATAAGTTATGGATTAATTGTATTTATTAATTAAATCCTAAGTTATGGGCCTGTAATTAATTTTTGATTCAGGCTGAAACCCACTTAATAATTTTTTTTAAAGTTGGGTTAGTAACTGATTAAGTTATGGATTAATTGAATTTATCATTTAAATCCTATGTTGTGGGCCTTATTAAGTTATGGATTTTATTAACCTATGGGCCTGTAATTTATTAAGTTTTGGGCCTGTAATTAATAAATTGTGATTTATTTGAATTGCTCAAATAAATTGGTAGTTAATCAATTATTTATTTCAAATAATATGACAATAAGGTATTATTTTTTGTCTCTCATTCCAAATAATTAATTAAAACAAGATGTTGCCAAAGTAACATCTCTTGTGTAGATTGTTCATGAGGGATGTTAGATGTTTGTGTGTATGTTTTCGAGTTGCCAAAGTAACATCTCTTGTGTAGATTGTTCATGAGGGATGTTAGATGTTTGTGTGTATGTTTTCGTGTAAATATTTAATCGTTGTTCATGAGGGATGTTAGATGTTTGTGTGTATGTTTTCGTGTAAATATTTAATCGGCCCAAAGAAAGATTAATATTTATTTATACTGCATACATATCTGTGATGATAAATATGTGATAATTATAAGGTTTACATGTGAATAATGAATCAATCCAAAGATAGTTTCATTATTTGACATGAGTTATTGTCTGTGTTTGATCATTGTAACAAGGTATCACTTGTAATTAATATTATTGTTCAAAGACTTGATATTATGTTGTACTAGATATCTTGAGATGAGATTTGTCATTATTTAAATTTTATTAATTACTAATTATGGTTAATAATGTTAATATCTTTTGTTTATTTTAGCTAATGCATCTGCTGTAACAATTTCTACTAACATCAATTCAATTCCCATGCTCAATGGGATAAATTTTAAGATTTGGAAAGAGAATATTTTAATTGTTCTTGGCTGCATGGATCTAGATATTGCATTAAAAACTGAATAATTCCAACTTCTCACTACGAATAGCACTCCTGATGCAAAGAAAGAGTATGAGAAGTGAGAGCGTTCAAATCGCATGAGTCTAATGATCATTAAGCGCGGTGTTCCGAAAGCCTTCAAGGGCATAGAATCCGAAGGGATTACTAAAGCTAAAGATTTTCTTGTCGAAATTGAGAAATGTTTTACAAAAAACGATAAGGTAGAAACAAACACGCTTTTAGCTCGCTTGATTTCAATAAAGTATAAGGGCAAAGAAAATATCAGGGAGTACATTATGAAAATATCTCATATTGCTTCAAAACTTAAGACACTTAAACTCGATCTTTGTGATGAGTTACTGGTGTACTGGTTCTGTTGTCTGTTCCTACACAATTTAATCAGTTTAAGGTCAGTTATAACTGCTAAAAGGAGAAATGGACTCTAAATGAGCTCATTTCATACTGTGTGTAAGAAGAAGACAAGTTAAAACAAGATAAGACAGAAAGTGTTCATTTGATTTATGCCTCTAAGAATAAGGGCAAAAAAGAAAGAATGATAATGAAGCTGCTAAGGGTTCTGTTTAGAAGAAATAACATAAGGATGATTAGGGTTGTTTCTTCTGTAACAAGTCTGGACATGTAAAGAAGGATTATACTAAATATCATGCCTGACGTGCTAAGAAGGGTATGTTTCTTACTCTGGTATGTTCTAAGATTAATTTGGCTTCAGTACCTAGAAACATTTGGTGGTTAGACTCTGGTGCTACTACTCACATAAGTGTTTCTATCAGGGATGTCTGAGCTACCGAAAGCCAAGTGATGTTGAAAGATACATCTTTGTGGGTGAATGACAATCAGTAGATGTGGAAATAATTGGGCATTTTAGGTTGCTATTAGGAACTAGTTCATATTTGGATTTAAAAGATACTTTTGTAGTACCGTTTTTTAGACGGAATTTGATTTTTATTTTTATATTTGACAAATCAAGTTATTCTTGTTCATTTGAAAACAATCAATTCAGTTTATCTTTTAATTCAAATATTGTGAGAACTGGTTACTTGAGTACTTATGACAACCTATACTTGCTTGATACAATTGCTTCTTATAATGAATTTTTGCATGTGGAATCACGTGGTACTAATCGTAAATTAAATAAAGAAAATTCAGCGACATTATGACATAAGCGCTAGGGTCATATCTCAAAAGCTAGAGTTGAGCGTTTTGTGTCTGATCATATTTTGGATTCTCTTGATTTTTTGGATTTTAACGTTTGTGTTGAATGTATCAAGAGAAAACATACCAAAGTTAAGAGATTAGGTGCTAACAGATCTTCTAATGTCTTAGAATTGATACATACCGATATTTATGGGCCATTCCCTACGACATCTTGGAATAGTCAATAATATTTTATATTATTCATAGACGATTACTCACGTTAAGGGTATCTATATCTTATTTATGAGAAATCTGAGTCTCTGGACATGTTCAAAGCTTTTAAAGCTGAAGTTGAGAATCAACTCAACAAAAGGATTAAACCGTTAGATATGATCGTGGTGGTGAGTACTACGATAGATATGATGGTTCAGGTGAACAACGTTCAAGACCATTTGTTAGATACCTAGAGGAATACGGTATCGTCCTACAGTACATTATGTCAGGTTCACCTAACATGAATGGTGTAGTTGAAAGACGAAATAGGACTCTTAAGGATATGGTAAGAAGTATGATTGCTCATTCTTCTTTATCAGAGTCACTCTTGGAAGAAGCACTAAAGACAACAACTTATATTCTGAACAGAGTATCAAGTAAAGCAGTTGCTAAAATACCTTATGAGTTTTAGACTGGTCAAAAGCCCAGTTTAAGGTACTTACATATTTGGGGATGTTCAGCTGAGGTAAGGCCTTACAGGCCAAATGAAAAGAAATTGAACATCAAAACAGTTAGCAGCTACTTTATTGGGTATTCTGAACGCTCTAGGGGCTATAAGTTTTATGATCCCACACTTAGGAATATTTTTGAGACGGGAACAATAACATTTTTTTAAGGATGTTGAGTTTGGGGGGAGAAATAAGGTTAGAGATATTGTTTTTAAGGAGGAATTGGCTTCAGATCTAATTTATACTGTCAATTTTGACAATATTCAGGTTTTTATACCTGTTATTGATCAAGAATTGAATCCGGAACCTCAAGAAGACAATGTTGAACAACTTCCTGTTCTAAAAGAATAAACTCAACAACCTCAAGAACCAGTGTCATTACGAAGATCTATGAGAGAAAGGAGAAATGCTATTTCGGATGATTATATTGTATTTTTCCAAGAACATGAGGAAAATAATGGAATGTTGGAAGATGATCCAATCAACTTCTT